TCTGTGATGTGGACTCTGCTACAGAAAGCTCTGTGCTGAGCATCTCTCCTAGGAGGAGAGGCTGAGAGCTGGGACTGTTCTACCTGGGGTAGAAAAGGCTCAGGGGATATCTTATAATACACATATAAATAACGGAAGGGAGAGCCAGGCTCCTTTCAGTGGTGGGACTAGAGGTGACAGGGACAAAATGGAACACAGGAAGCTTCTGAACATCAGGATACATTTTTTTTCACTGAGAGGGTGACTGAGCACTGGAACAGGTTGCTCAGAGAAGTTGCAGAATCTCCATTTGAGATATTCAAAAATGACCTGGATATGGTGCTGGGCAACTGGTTCTAGGTGGCCCTGCTGGAGCAGGTCCTCTGAGTTCCCTTCCAACATCAACCTTTCTGTGATCCCTTTGCCTAGAAGTCCTCAGGTAAGTCTTTGCTGTACAGGCAAGCAAGCTAGATCATAAAGGCCGGGAGGCATTTAAAATCTAGGACCTTCTAGCCTTGTTGTGATGCACTGATGTGTTTCCTTCTGTCAACTAGTGAGCAAGCCTGTAAGACACAAGCCCAACAACAAAATCATGGTAACATCTGGAGGAACTGGCCGCTCTCCCCTCAGCATTCTACGAGATGATAATTCTCCCAGTACTCCTGTTCCTCGCCAGGTAAAGCTTAATGGGTCATACTGTGGGACAGAGAATGGGCTGGAAAAAGCCAAATCCTTCAGTTTCTGTGTGTCGTAGGGTCCCAGTTTGGAATTGTGGTCTCCTAGACCTGTAGAGCCTAGTAACTTCATAAATATTTTTCTGTGGGTCAGCCCTGTCCTTAGGTGCCTACAAGTCTTGTTTAATGTCTGTCTTAGGTCTCAACATGATATTGCCCATTTCAGTGCATTCTTTCTCCTTAGACTGTAGAAAGAAGTCCATCACTTTTTTACATTGTGTCAAGAGACCCAAAGCTGAATGGCCTGAAAATAGGCTACATGTTTCACTGAGAATTACCTAACCATCAATTAATTTCTGTTTTACACTTTGTTTGGGTTTTTTATTTCTCTAGGGCAAGAAGCATGTGTTGGGAGAGAACCTTGGGGAAAAGAAGGAGGTGACAGTGGACTTGAGCAGGAGCCTTAAATCTGGGAACTGTGCTTGGAATGACTTGAACAAAGAGAACCAACAGTGTCCTTTTGTGGAGAATTAGAGATTTCCTTTTTCAGGATCTTGCTGTAATTTGAGTTTTCTGTGGGAGAAATCCTGCAATAGACTGAAATTCTAGAGCAGTGATCATATTTCTTGTCTATCCCTGTGGGGAAAGATTACTCTCTCTTTCTGTCCCCCTCCTACTTTGCCATGTCTTATGTACAGCACAGACTTTGGCTCTTCTATTGTACATTGCTGTATTGATTTTTCTGTTGATTTTTTTATCTGTAGTAAATAAATTTGTGTTAAGCCTTTAGCCTTTGCTGACTGTATGTCCTGATAGGACCGCAGGAGCCCCCTGCTTGCCCAGCACAATATTTTCTTTGGGGACAAGGGTTCACGAACAAATAGTTCAACTTCCCATTAGCCCTAAAAACTGTAACACGCTGAAGGGTCTGGTCTCGAACCCACATGCTATAGCAAGGGCCAGGAAGCTGCAGCTCCGTGCAGGAGACTGTACATTTGGTGTTGCTTCTGAAGTTAAACTGCCTGCACTGGCCTAAAACTAATGTATACAAAGGACTGTAGACTATTGCAAGGGTCTGGCATGAAGGTGAGATCCAAAATAGCGTGGGATAGTATTGTGTGCTAGTACTGACCTTCTGTTGATAAGTCACTAAACCTTGCTGACCATCAGCTCTCCCTAGCACAGCCTTGGGACCCCAGGATGTTATGAGCCAACAAGTGGAATAGGGACTGAATAAAATGTCTGTGTCCTGTAACTGAGCTTAAATCTCCAAGGTTTGCAAGGGTGCATTTTCAGTTCCCTATCCTAATTCCAGCCTCATAGGTGAGGAACACCCTCCTCTGAGGGATTGTGAGCTAGGGCAAGATCTGTGGATGAGGTGTCTGGATGGGGTCAGCAGGCAATATTCATAGGAGAGAAGTTGTGTTTGCAGTAGCTCATTGCAATGCTGGAAAGAACACAGCCTACAGTGCTTATGTGAGTTTTCTTTATTTGCCTGGGCTATGAAGATCTAAACAAACTTGAAAACAGGGGCCAATGGCTACTGGTTAGACAGTGTCACCACACAATGCAGGAGTGAGGCAAAAGGGGAAGGTACAGCAAGAAGCAGACAATAAATAACAAATACAATATTCCCTGATATTCTGGCAGGTCTGAGGGCTACCTTTCTGCCATTTATGCATAGATAAGATTTGATCTAAGAAAAGAATAAATATATTCTCTGGTATTTTGGAAGGTCTGAAGACTACCTTTCTCATGTTCATGCATAGATAAGACTTGAGCTAAGTCTTCCCCAATGGAAATGAGCCAAATTTACATTAGCTTTTTGTTTGAGGTGATGTGATAGAAATCTCAAAGCCAGTACACCTCCGTAGCTGTCTGCAGGGATATAGGACAGCTCCACGGAGAAGCTAGGTAGAGTTAAATCAGGGAGAGATCTTAGTTGGGGGCAGGTGTTGGATGAGGGATCCTCTGAAGGAGGAGGATGTGTGTCAGCGTGGGTAGAGGTGTTTGAAGGAAGATGCAGGTTGTCTGAATTGTACTGAAAAGTCCTGAGACATAAAGAACAGTGTTTTGCAACTCTTCAAGCCTGCACAAGGCTGGAAACTGCTGGGGCTATTTAGAGGTGGAGAGAAGGGCCAGCGTGTGTGCTCCTGTTCCCCAGCTCCCCCTGCTTCTCCTCCCTGACCTCTGTTTTCCCTTTCGCTCTGGGAGACTCCTACAAGTGACCTGTGTCTAGAGACAAGCGGGAGTGGTAAGTAGGCGTTTCTGTTGTGCTCATCTGACGATGCTGCTTGCATGGGCTTGGGCTGTGGGCCTTGCTTCCACTGCTCTTCCCCTTTCTGCTGCCATCCTCAGTTCCAAATCTTGAGGAAGCTGTCCCAGGAGCCAGTGGCAACAGCCATGCCGTCTGCTGTCACGCCCAGGCAGCTCACTCTGTTATCGTGGCCAGAAAGTATTCCTATGGGGGAGAAAGGAAAGGTCAGGGAAGGAAGTGGGGCTTGTGAGAGATGACAGGGTTGACCATGCAGAAGACATGCATCATGGGCTGTGTACCTACACCCCTGTGTGTCACCCTGTTCCTGTACAATATGTTAAAACTGGTATGTGTCTAATAAGAGCAAACACACAGAAGGACTTTTGTGCATGGCCTAGAACCACCACCCATGGGACTGGCCGAAGAGCAGTGTTCTTGGGCAAGTACGACCAGCTGAATCCTCGTACAACTGCTTTCACCCTGGAGTGATGTAGGACTAAGGAGGGTGTCCTTGATACGGCTGAGGAATGGCAGTGATGTCGGTGGGCTGTGTTTCATGAATTTTCTGAGGGTAGGGGCCACATTTGAAAGAAAAATGGTGTGTATTCTATGTATGAGCATCAGAAAATATCCAAAGATGTTGGATGGAAGCCATAGCCCACTCTCAGCTTGGTGCCTGGCCACCGAGTGGCACTGTGAGTACCTGGAACTGGCGAACAGCAGAGGCTAGGAGAAAATAGGAAAGTCTGGTGGTTGCGAGCGGTATTAGCTAATAGTAACCTTCTTTCCCCCTTGAGACGATGTTCCTTAAGGTCTTGACTTCCTTAACATGAGAAACAATAGTTCTGCACAACTGAGAGTTGTACTAATTATGGTGTGCTCCTTAAGTGCAAGGAAGCCTTGTTGGGTTTCACTCAGTATAGGATGTGTTCCCTTCAGAAAAAATAAATGCCTTTTCCTTGCCTTGATAGGGACACAAGGCCTTGCAGGGAATGAAAGAGCCACTCACCCACACGCTCTGCTTTCAGGGAGTCCCAGATGTTGCAGTTGAAGTCATCATATCCAGCAAGCAAGAGACGCCCACTGCGGGAAAGGGCGACTGACGTGATTCCACAGATGATGCTCTCGTGAGAGTACACTATGAGCTCCTGGTCCGCCCGGAGGTCAAAGAGACGGCAGGTGGCATCATCTGAGCCGGTGCAGATGGCTTCACCATTAGGGAAGAACTGGGGAGGGTACATACCAGATTTTAGTGAGGTTTTCCTCAATCCCGACAGATTTCCTCAACTCTTCAACTCCCTGCTAATCTCTAGGAAGCCACGGAGATAAGAAAACCCAGTGGGACAAGGTACTGGATCATAAAAGTTGAGTCTGCTGAAGGGGGAGATTGATGCTTCTCCTAAGACCTAATAAAACCCTTCCACCTCAAGAAAACCAATGACCTAGGGGCTAGAGCTGTTGCAAGACATCTCAGTCCTTGAGAAAGGATTACTTTAGCTCCAGCTGTGAGTTTGAGGCTTGACAAATGTCTACCCATTATCCCTCAGCTGGGGTCTAGCATGATTCAGAGCTATGAGAGCCTTTCTCTATCTGATCCTCATACCCCAACCTTCTCATACACGCTCCCTTTCTGTGGCCTTAGTCTGAGAAGCAAAGAAAGGGCTTCTAAGGAGCAGGTATGGCAGAAAACCATGTGGCTGGTAAGGTAGCAGTGGGACAGATGAGAAAAGTTGTAATTGAAGTCAGTGGAGGGTGGTTCAAGCAGCAGACTGCAGAAAGCTGGCAGACTCGTTGCTTAGCCACAAGGATTAGTCTGGCATGTTTCTTGCCCTTGCTGTCTCTAGGGCTCTGGTTTGAATCCTTGCCTCTGAGGGCATACTTTCTCCCAGATGTCTGTGCTGCCTCTTGTGAAAATTTAATCTTCAGAAGATCTCCCTGTGATCCCAAGTTCCTACCTCTTCTATCTGGAGCTGACGAAGACCCTCAGCTGAATTAGGTATTCCCACTGCCTCATATGCATCTTGTGCCAGGAATGCTGGAGCATGCCTGAAACAGTTCCCAACAGCTGCTATGAGCAAAGCTGCACCAGCACCTGTGTTAGGGTGCTGAGCTCCACAGACCATGGTGTGCTGGCTGTCTAAGACCTAGGTGCTTTGGTGCCTGGGAAGAGCCAGCCTCCAAATTTCAGTGAACACAGGCCCTCCCTGCTTCAGGCTGGATGTTTGGGCCAGGGTCTCCTGAGACCCCTGTTACTCACACAACTGTGACAGCTTTTTTCAACTTTGTCCCAAGACTGTTTCAGAGCTGGTCCACCCTCCATTTTCCATGCTTCCCTACCCCTGTGCAGACAGCATACGTACAGAGATGGCGTTGATATCAGACTCATGTCCTCCAAAGGTCTGACGGCAGGAGCCCTCCCGCACATCCCAGAGTTTGGCAGTAGCATCACAAGCCCCAGAGATAAAGAGTTTGAAGTCTGGGGAGACAGCCAAGCTCATACAGTCTCCGGTGTGTCCCAAGAACACAGTCTTCTGCTGCCCTGTCTCAATGTCCCAGAGCGCACTGTGCAGGGGGAGAGGAGAGAAGTTCTCAGAGTCAACCCAGGCGAACAGTGTAGAACAGATCTACAGCTGGGCCAAAGAGCTGTCCCACTCGCAAGCAAAAGGAGGAGGGAAGCCACGGCTACAGCACGGAAAAACGGGTGATAGCATCCCTGGAGTCAGCTGTATACAACAAGAGATACCTTCACAGCTGTTGCTGGTGACACCTTTGCCAAAGCAGAGTTAAACTAAGGATGGGGGTTGTGAGGTTTGACCATATTCCCGTAACTGCAACAGTTGAAGGGAATACTGAGAGGAGGTAAGAGTGACACAAAAAGCATGAACCAGCAAACGGCTGAAAAAGATCTGCTGTGGCCACGCTTGTAGGATGCACACCCCATGTTCACACTACAGCCAGGCAAGCAAGCCCTGTGTTACTCTGATCTCTGATGGAAATGCCACATCCTGACTCATCCTTGGTCAAGAGGTTCTTCCAAAGCAGGTGTTGGGATGGGATGGGGTGAATAAAGGCTCAGCATTGCTCAGAATCACAGCACAGGGAGAACTGAGAACCAGGAACAAAAGGCTCCAGGCGCTAAGTCTGATGGTGTCCCTTGCACAGTGGGCAAGACTTGAGAATTGAAGCACATTGGTGGGCTTCACATAAATTTAAAATGTTTTCTGTCCTTGGATAGCTGACACTGTGCTTTGTGAGAGCTGACAACATGGTCCCTACTGCTTCACCAGTTGACCTGCATCTTGACCTGGCATCAACTGGGAAAAGAAGCACCTGTTCTGCCCAGGGAGGAAGAACGGATCAGGTTTCTTAAGGTGTTCCATGTGGCCTCCCTATATAGGAGAAATTCTTCCTTAATGGACTGCTGCAGAGCCTAAAGACTGAGCTTGCTGATGTGTGCTCTGCCTCTAAGAGCCAGAGGTCACGACACTAGGACACAAAAGACAGCACTCACCACGTGGTATCTCCAGAGCTAG